TATAATTTCATTTGATAAACACATTTAGATTGAATGGTAATTTATAATCAGTCACAAGAACGTCGAATCTGAATTACTTGAAAAAAACACGGGGGTGCTTAACTTTTTTCCAGGTGTATATTTTCAATCAATCGACAATAATGTTTTAACACATTATTATTTCGTAAAATAAAATAGTTAGTATTCTTGTAATCAATGTAGGTAATATTGATAAAACTCCGCACTAAATTAATGCAACTTAAACGTTTTAGAATATAAAAACAGTACGAATATGACAATAGAATGATAACACATGGAAATATAAAAATAAAACGAAGCTCTTTTAAACTCTGTTTATGGCGAGTATTTCTTGGTGAAATATTACTTCATTATTTTTGACAGATTCTCTGTATATTCGGTGTGAAAATCAACTCACATCAACACCTTCTACGCAAAAAAAAAAAAATGAAGTTCAAAATATCAGTGTTTTTAAAACATAGTCCAATCAAATTAGTGATTCGTAGAATGAACTAAGTTTTGACGTGAATTGAAAAGTATAGAATAAAAATGGAAAATTAACAGTATTAATATAAAAATATACGACTAATAATCATTTAGACTCTCCTTATCGAGGATTCTGTGCAATTCCAAATAACGTCACATGTATCGTTTCAATGTCACATTTCCAAAGCTGTTATATCATAAAACAAAGTGTAAAATAGCGATGAGTGCGTATTAATAGTACACGAAAAATACCGTGTATTCTGAAACAATAGAAGTATTTAACGTAAATACTTAAAATTAAAACTTGTCCTAACTTTCTACGTTTCTCTTTAGGACTTTGAGTAAAGCAGTGTATTTTTTTTTTAAATTTGCACTTTCTTAAGTTTATCAAATATCAATTATTTTTAAATAGCAAGGACCTATATTACATACATATTCAACCTATACTACTCAAATAAACAAGAACAGAAGTAATGAAAATAAAAGTTTCGCAACCATTATTAAAACATAACTTTATATCAAAACGTGTATGTGCACAGGGTTAATATTGTACAGTTAGTTAAGACGTACATGAGAATCAATTTAATACAAACGGCTAATCAAATATATTACTCATGCTTTCAAGACGTGTAATAAAGGAACATGAGTTTGTACCAATGAACCACCTAGATGTCTTCACGCACAAGAAAACAAAACTGAAATTACGAAAGGTTTTAGGACAAATTTTACATTCATGTCTATTATTAACGAATCTGCAACTTCTGCCTGGAAATGATATTACTGACTTTTATTATTATTATTTAATGAACCCGTTGTATTGCGACACCCCAAGCTAGATAATAATTAGGGCGAAAAGCGTATTAGAAGAAGCTTTAAATTAAGAGGAGTTGTGACTCAAAAATACTTAGTTGAAAATATTGGCTTACGCATTGTTCACGAGACTTTAAATTACATATTTGCGACACTTATTTTTTCTTTGTTTATTTTCCAATATCAAATATATATTTAAGCTTTGGAATTGTTTTGTTTGTTTATTTGTAATCAAGCACAAAGCTACGCAATTGGATATCTGTACTCTGCCCACCACGTGTATGGAAACCCGGTTTTTAGCATTGTAAGTCCGCAGACATACCGCTGTGCCACTGGGGGGCAAGCTTTGGAAATAAGGTAGTCTAGACTATTTTTTTTAACTCATTCCTGGTTGAATTTCTTTCCAGATATTTCCTTTTGTACACAGAATGGCCCTAAGACAACATGTTAAATAAATCCTAACATAAACTCCATTACTAACAAGCTGTTCCGGAATTTTCTTCAAAAAAATAGTTCTTGCTAAAACATTTAGTGGTTCTTATATAATATTTTAACTACGTTAATTTATAATTTGCTACAACAAATATGTTTCACCTTTATACAGAAAGCACGTTCACAGGTTTTAAAGTAAAGCTAAAAAACTGATTTCAAACGTCATCCGGCTTAAAACTAGGGTTAGTATACAAAGCACTTGGGGCTTGCCCTTTTATCTTCTTCGCGTTCCACTTTTCCCACTCTCTCCGAAAGGTGGGGTTCCTGGGACCCCATTCTGGTGTAGGTCGAAAAGTATACTTCAATTTCTATCAGAAAATGAAAGTAGGCTTTAGAATATTTAAAAATAATAAAACGTGCATATATAAATGCATTTACCAATATTTTGATTACATAATATGCTTTTCTGGAATTGTGTACATTATAAAGGCGTTTAATAAAAAATACTACAGGCCTAATGTCTAAAAGTTATATAAAAAAGGCCATTGGAACAGTAACTTCGTTTGAGATTAAGTTTTTAACACACTGAAGCGAGAGGATATCTTGAACTTTAACATAAGTAACAGAATATTTCAAACTCAAATAAAAGTCTTCATTTATGCGACACAAAATATGTTATCCAAAGTTATCAGACAGAGTCTGTTATATTGTATACTTTAAGCCTCTGTAAAAAATTACAGCGAATGTTAAAAAAAACAAACAGTTAGAACATTCTTTTAAAGTTAATTTATCAAACTTACCTCCAGAACAGTTGACCCAGGAGCCTTAATTATTGTTACAACAAACCAAAAAGGAATCTGAATGATACATAGCATTGCTAAAATCCAACCGAGCGCTGTTCCCCAAGCTGGCATGATTAATCTAGTATTACTTTCATCTTTCTCTTCTTTAGCGTTGTCTATCGCCAGCATGACTGTACCATATCCGTAGATGAACTACACAGGAATACAGAGAGGTGGTTTGATACCATGCACAACTAAACTATATCCATAGATGAACCACACAGGAATACAGAGAGGTAGTTTGATACCATGCACAACTAAACTATATCCGTAGATGAACCACACAGGAATACAGAGAGGTAGTTTGATACCACGCACAACTAAACTATATCCGTAGATGAACCACACAGGAATACAGAGAGGTAGTTTGATACCATGCACAACTAAACTATATCCGTAGATGAACCACACAGGAATACAGAGAGGTAGTTTGATACCATGCACGACTAAACTATATCCGTAGATGAACTACATACGAACACAGAGAGGCATTTTGATACCATAAATAACTATACAAGACATTATAAGGTTTATATTCTGGATAACTAATATCACTCAAGATTTCTTTAAACCGAGAATTTTAATAAACATAATAAAAGCGTAAAATGTTTGGGATAAGAAATGTGTATGTGGCACAAATTTTACGATACGTAGTTAAGAATAGATATATCTGAAGAAATGTTTCGAAATATTATCAAATTATGAAAAAACCTCACTCTTTTGCATTGTTTATTAGCGTACACATAATCCAGTTTTGTACTGTTTATTAGCGTGCACATAATCCAGTGCCTCTCGTGGTCATTTAGAGAAGGAAATATATATTATTAAAAAGAGAAAAAAGATTAATGTTTTGATAAAATCAAAGAAGTCCATTCTAACGAAAAAATGCTGTTTTGAAGAAAATTAACGTCCCCCTGGTGACTACGCGTTAAGCTGGAGGGCTTATATTGTTTGATTTCGGGGTTCCAACCCTACGGTTGGCACAACACAAGTAACCTATTATGCAACTTTTACGCGACCTATAAGTAAATACGGTTACGAATTTGAAGTTATCACTGTCTTACAGAAAGTTGGCTAAGACCATAGACGTACACGCAAAACCCTATTTTTCCAAATCCTGTTAACAGAAAAGCCATAAATTGAAAATAGTAACACATATATATATCACTTACATATAATTCAACTTATCTCAACAAAAACGGTCTTTCGGACATCAAGCTACTTGTGCAGAGGACATTAAAAGGGTAAGGCTCATTGACAAAAAAAGGACACTTTTTAAGCAACATAAGGTAAGCATTTTTTTTTCTGGGTGGAAGGTTGTTAAATGAGATTATGTGGACTGCGGGCTGCTTCTAGCACACATAGGGTAAAAGTCATAAGAAACAAACAGATCCTCATTTATTCTTATTCAGTTTGTCTCATAACCCCACTTTTATTATTTAAAACTAGACAGTGATTTCTTGCGTGTTAACACTTAATAACATATCACAATTATACTTTTTTTATACTGTAACATCTTAACAAGTCTCTATGTTTCATTCATTTTGAAGTTGGAATTTTTCCCCCTAGAACTTGCAGTATGCAAGGCGTGGAATCAGGCGTATTTTTTCGTAGTTGTTGGCAAATTTTATGATAGAAAAAAATGGCACTTTTGGGGCATAAGGGTAGGAACTTGAGTCCCCCTTGTGCACATCACTGTTCACAAGTGAAGTTGGGTTTAACATAAACAAATAAAATGTCAAAATATTTTTTTAAATTTAGGTCTATAATTATTTAAATATAAAACATTTGTACTCACAAAAATGAGATACTTTACACATACTGACGCCAAAATAACCTTCTGTAAACATTTTAAATAGAATTAAAATTTTAAAACTCCAACATTTGATTTTAATGTTTTTATCATTATACTGAACGTTATTGTAATAGTGTCCAAACCCAACTTAATCCAAAATTCCGCTTAAGCGCTAAATAACACAGAAATTGCATTTTTTAAACGAAAAACAATATATTTTACTGAATTTTAATTATGACGAATTACATTACACACATTATAAGCTCGCATGTTATAACACAGAGGGGAAAACGAAAATCACAAACATTTATACAATTGGGGAACGAAAGTTGAGCACGACATTAAGACCCAGTAAAGATATTCTGATTCATTCTCAAAAAACACAGCAGAAAAAACAAATTTGTACTGTATTAGTTATCACTTGAGACAAAACAAGGGTTATTTACCCACCCATTAATTATCTCTCAAGACAAAACAAGGGTTGATTTACCCACCCATTAATTATCTCTCAAGACAAAACAAGGGTTAATTTACCCACCCAGTTGTATCACTTTAGACAAAACAAGGGCTAATTTACCCACCTTAGACAGAAGAATACATTTCATTATTATATACTGAAAAATAACCGAAACATACATGTTTACTTAGAATATGTAGTACAATAAGACCTTTCATCAGAAACTCGTTATACAGTCAACAAAATTGTTCCGGAGACTTATTAATATAATTTTCGGACACCCTCTAAATAACAGTTAAAAGTAATGAGAAATAAAAGAATCTTCAAATGGAATCTCGTTCCCAATTTTAAACATAATTACTTATAAAAGTAACTTATATGGAGTGCCTATTTTAAGTTAAAATTAACTACTTGTTACCAGTTGCTTACAAACAAATAACTTGCTTGATGGCAAAGGTAGGTAAAACAATACTTACTATAAGGGAAACTGGTGCTACTAAAATCCAAGTCCATTTCCAGAACCATCCAACGGGTCTCCCAAGCATGAAGTGAACGTCAGATAGAAACCTCCGGTAGCCTAAAAAAACGAATATGAAACCTGCTAAATAAGCAAAACTGAGACGTGCCAAACAAAACAAAAACCTAGAAAACAACTCAAAATGGAAGTCTGCAACACAATCACGAATGAAACGTGTATCAAATCTTTTTGTTTAGGACAGAAATATTACATGAGAAATTAGTAAATTATTCTAATATAGTCATAACGCGACCATCTGTATATCTTGTAACAATAGCTTAGTAAGACCAACTGACGATATATTACAAAATTAAAGAAAACAAATACAGTTGTACGTTTCACAAATATTTTGTTTTAATTAATACCATCTTTTCGCACAAAAAGGCATCTTTCTTATATTCCATCAAATGGTCCTTGGTTTGAGATTAGTTTAGGAAATATTTTAGTGCACTTTCTTAAATATACCCCAAGGTGTTTAAAGTTCCTGTTATATCTCGAGGTAGCAATGCCTGAAACGTTATACCTAGCAAAATGTTTTTTGTGTTAGTTAACTAGGTAATTAATAATTGAATGGAATTGGAATTTTCAATCTTAATGGTACCGTATTCACGTGGGCTGAATGACCAGGACAGATGCCCTTAGGGTTCAATTATAGTTATCTTTAATTTTTAACTACCTATGAAGAAAAAAACAGCCAGAATGACTAGCTGCCACAAGTTTTATTCAACTTTTTGGACCACATATTGTGATTTACTGTCACTTTCATAATGCGCCCGCAGCTGAAAGTGCGGAGCGTGTTCAGCAGAATCATGTCTCGAAATCCCGAATCTTTTGAGCTGCAATCCGACAGTCCAGGCCCGGCATGGCCAGGTGGTTAGGGCGCTCGACTCGCAATCTGAGGGTCGCGGGTTCGAATCCCAGTCACCGAACATGCTTGCCCTTTCAGCCGTGGGGGTTATAATGTGACGGTCAACCCCACTATTCGTTGGTAAAAGAGTATCCCAAGAGTTGGCGGTGGGGGGTGATGACTAGCTGCCTTCCCTCTAGTCTTACACTGCTAAATTATGGACGGCTAGCGCAGATAACCCTCGTGTAGCTTTGCGCGAAATTCAAAAACAAACAAACAAACCGACAGTCCAACCACAAGACCACGCGGGTCCCATAATAAGTGAAATTAATGTATGCCGTAAAATTGTTTTCACGATCGATGCCAAGAAAGATGAAACAAATCTCAAAACGTTTGTTAGAAAAACAAAATTATATTATCATATCTATTAATTCTCTACAAAAAAAACAAAAAAACTTTAGAACAACATATTTATACCTCATTCTCACATGTTTACTGAAGGGAGAGATGGGGTGGGGGGGTATTTCAGATCAATCACCTTTCCTAGTTACTCGAGAACCAATAACAGTGACGAAAATTATTAGAAAAAAATTGTTTACTTCGTTACTCGGAAATAGGTTTCACGCTACAGCCTAACGAAACACTTCCACCTTTCAGGCCTAGTTAAATGTGATAAAATATCGCGTTAGACTGTGGGAGATTTTTCTCACAATCCTGTTAATCAGTCCTTTCTCAATCTCATATCAGAGGCGTGCAGAAACGCCATTTCAGACTTACCTTTCTTCTGCAATGCGGAACTGTCCATAAGGCCTTTTAGTTCAATAAACAGAACTTATCAGCTTGCTCCGCGGAAGACAGAACTCTACCTAAATTTTATTTTATATTGACTCCGAAAATGTCAAGTTATGAAGATAAGATCATTTTATAAGATGAACATCACGTGTAAGCTGACGTCTTGCGTAATAGCATTTTCACGCCTTAATTGATAGGCTAGAAATTTAATGTTATAAACAAGATTTAAAATGATAAACTAATTTGCTCTGATACAAACGTGATTCATAAGTGATCTTTTTATGGTAATAAAACACACTATCCATGTGTTTATCATTCGTATTCTTACCGTATATCCACATAATACCAGTAATTTCCAATACGGCGTACAAAAACACTGCTGCCCCTACCCCGTAGTTATCCAATAGGTTTATCACGTGTTCTCCAGCCTAGGATAAAGAAGGTTTGCATTGCATTACTGATTATATTTTACACTCTGTAGTATTACAACATCTTACCATATATATATATATATATACATTAATTTTTTGACCACTTCAGAGAGACCTAATAGCTAACACCATTATAATTATTCCAGTCACTTCAAAAGGGTCTATTCTGTTAGAATTGTTATCATTACTCCTATCACTTCAGAGAGGCCTAATAACTAACACCATTATAATCACTCCAATCACTTCAGAAGGGTCTATTCTGTTAGAATTGTTATCATTACTCCTATCACTTCAGAGAGGCCTAATAACTAACACCATTATAATCACTCCAATCACTTCAGAAGGGTCTATTCTGTTAGAATTGTTATCATTACTCCTATCACTTCAAAGAGGCCTAATAACTAGCGCCAATTATAATTACTCCAATCACTTCAGAAGGATCTATTCTGTTAGAATTGTTATCATTACTCCTATCACTTTAGAGAGGCCTGATAACTAACCCCAATATAATTACTCCAATCACTTCAGAAGGGTCTATTCCGTTAGAATTGTTATCATTACTCCTATCACAAAAATATGATATCCCATAACCCAAGCGCTTTCGCAAGGTGGACCTTTCTTCTTCCGGGGCAAATCAGGAATGACCGTGTAAAGCAATGTGTGAGTGAGGTGAAGTTCATGTGACGCCATGCACACTACCATAGAAATCCATAAGTGTTTTCAGTCGCTTTCAATGTATTGTTAGAAGTGTTTCTCATTTCCGATGCAATACTACCGAAAAAAAAAATTAGGTGTAAAGAATTAAGAAATATAACTTTGCTTTACACAGTCATTCCTAGTTTGCCCCTGAAGAATAGAGGTCCACCTTTCGAAAGCGTTCGGGTTATAGGGTATCGTATTATTGAGTTAAATTGATTTCTTCAACCTACGTGTTTTCCTAACATCATGAATATTACTTCTGTCACTTTAGAAAGGCCTAATTTGTAACCACCATTATCATTACTCTTATCATTTCAGAGAGGCCTAATCGGTAAGATTCGTTGTCATTACTCCTGTCACTTCAGAGAGGCCTAATCATTACGAACCGTTATCATTTCAGAGAGGCCTAATCAGTAGGAAGCATTATCATTACTCATCATTTCAGAGAGGCCTAATCATTACGAACCGTTATCATTACTCTTATCATCTCATAGAGGCCTAATCAGTAAGAACTATTATCATTACTCTTATCATTTCAAAGAGGCCTAATCATTACGAGCCGTTATCATTACTCCTATCCCTTCAGAGAGGCCTAATCATTATGAACCATTATCATTACTCATAATTTCAGAGAGGCCTAATCATTATGAACCGTTATCATTAGTCTTATCATTTCAGAAAGGCCGAATCAGTAAGAACCATTAACATTACTCCTATCACTTCAAAGTGGCCGAATCAGTAAGAACCATTATTATTACACCTTTAAAAGTCCATATAAATATCTCACATAATTACCTTTTATTTTGTTTATTTTATTGCACAAAGAAAAGCGCGCTACTAAATCACACAGCGATTTCCTAACTACAAGATAACAAAAGGCACTAACGATTTTCTAAACTGTCAAAACATTTGTCAAAGTTTTTTGTATTTCATTTTCAGTGAGGATGTTTACTTAGATGCGTATATATGTGTGAGAGTATACATAACTTGCTGATGCAGTTCTTGATACAAGAATACCAAGAAGTCTATTTCAAATTGAGATATGTTAATTTACAAAGACAGTATAATTTTACAAGCTCCGCCATTACGCTACATACACTTTGCAATTAATATATACCTTAACCCTAAATTCGGGCATATTATGTGACATATCCCTAATCTAACGAATGAGAGTATTATACTTTATATTGGATGCTAGCCTATTGGGGGTCTTAAGCAGAAATACTTTTGTGTCCTCTTAATCTCTCCCCAAAAAAATATTAATTGCATTATTTCTAAAGACTAAAAAATATACCAACACAAGACATACTAATTTCTACTCACACCCTTATCTGGTATCTTTCTCAAATCATGAATAATATCTTGTACTGCATTTAAAAACCGATCAGCGCATGTGCACTGCAATTGTACCTGGCAGAATTGTGTCTTACTATTACAATCTTTAAACGTCCGTCCATTACTGAGTAATATGTTTTTGGATCGCGTGCACTAAAAATATATTTTTTTAAATATACACAATATTAAAATAGGTAAATTCCAAAGTTCAGATTAAGATAACAAAAAAAAAAAACATGAATCACAGCATCACCCCCCCCCGAACTACTCGAGACCCTAAGCAATTGTTTAGTATTGTTGCGTCAGCGAGTCACATGACCACCGTGACGCAACGTTTCTAGAACTATCATGTACTTTGGCGAATGTTCAAGTTCTTACTAGAAATAGGGTACGCTGGTATATAAAAGAGGGGAATGTAAGATATAGATAGTGAGTAATTGAACTGCAGTCGGGGAGCACGAGAGACGTTACA